AATGAAATAAAAATTATAACAATGTATTTCCCCCCCCCCCGTACTTAACTGAGCAGTTGACAGTGATATAGCAATTAGTTTTCTGTAGTGATGCTGGTAGTGGTGGGGAGACTCACACAGCTTGGGACTGAAATGCATTCACTTTAAATTAGGAAAATGTGATTTTATAGCTATACCCACTGTCAAGGGGACTTTACAGGTGTAGAGCTGAAAACAGACATTGATATATTCTCTAAAATTAACTGGATCTCAAGATGAAGGAATCCTATGAATATTATTAACTTCTACAGTAATAAATAATAAAAACATACAAAAAACTTGCAATATCTTCCTACCAGTCATGACTCAAGTCTGTCTCGCTTGTGTTTCAGTTTGCGATGAGATGTTCCCTTCCAGATCTAACTGGACTGGTTTGAAACATTAGTGTCACTACCTACTCTTTACTGTCCTTGCAAAATTTACTACCCCTGCAGCTGAGCACATGGGCCCTCCTCATCACCTTCGGCACAAATATAGCTGGATTAGGACAAAATCTCAAGAAAGGATGTGTAAGGCAAGCAAGGGTGACTGAAACACATGGAGAAGGCTCAGATGATCCCCTCTGCTTTAGGGGTAGTAAGCATGAATGCCAGCAGAGATGCTGCTACATCGTCAACTGCTGCACTGGGGTTTGTAGTGGGCAACAGAAGGAGTGCCTTGGTCAGCATTAAACTGCTCACCTGTCCCAGAAGCACTTGGTACCCTGTCAAGCCATATCCTAATACAGCTTCAGGCGCCATGCCTGCACTTTAAAATAGCTTATAGTAAGCTTTCAAAGAAAACCCCAACCAAATCACCCCCCCCCCCCCAAAAAAAACAAAACAAAACAAAAAAACAAACCAAACCCAAAGTACAACCTTGAAGTGAGAAGGAAGATATAGGGGGGAAGGAAAGTGTCCAGTTTTCTAGAGGCTCAATTTCAATTAAAAAAACCCAACATAACACACCTCTTCAAGCAGGCCTTATTTAAGACCTGAGACTAGTAGGTATTTTGCCCTTGTACCATAGTTGTTCTGGCTTAAACACCCTGTTTCACTGCCTTGTCTGCTGATTTTTATTAGTCATGTAGTGACTGGTGTGCTCTTGCAACTTTGCTGCTTAGAGACTTCCCCAGGAAGACTGGAGCTGGCATGGTCAACAGTTACAGACAGCAGGGAAAAGTGTGTTCTGAATTTAATGTAACTTATTTCAGACTTTCCTCACTCTGATTTGTCGATAATAAAATAATTGCCACTGTCTTTTTTTGTAGCTTTGCCAATTTGAGAATTCACCCTCATGGATTGGTGTTGGTTGATCTGCAGAGCTACAATGATCATATGAAAGGAAGAGAGGAAGTTGATCAGGTATGAGTGCTTAACTTACTGGGCTTATCAAATTGCATGGGGAGCACCTTTTTTTCAGGTGTATCAAAGTGTATCTTGGTAGAAGATTTTTAAATATCAAAGTTAGTTCAAACCTGAGTACTTCCAGATAAGTAGTAACACCTGTTGTAGTTGCACACACATATGAGTGTGCATGCAGACTCATGCTCTTTTGCATGTCCTGGGCCTCATCTTTGCTGTAGAAGTTGAGACATGGATAGGGCCTTGGCCTTGGATAGGGCTCAGGTCTGTTCAGATACCCAGAGCAGTGAGGGAGAACTGACGTTCAACCCACAACCTGATGTATTAATGTATGATTTTTTTCTTCTCTAATTTGAGAGATGGGAAGCCTCTATATTCAAAACTTCTTCCTCATGGAGAAAAATTTCACCTTTCTTTATAGGAAGGCTCCAGCAGTTGGATATTGCAGGGGGATAGGCCACTGCTTTGGGGGGAATGAAACCTTACAGGGTTCTTGTGTTTCCTCTTCTGCTGTGCCTGAAGGGTCTGACTATTTTATTCTGTAGGACAACTAAATGCAGTGATGACAGCTGCTACAATATGCACATTCTTGCTAGTATTGAGGTTAAGGTGACCAGCTAGTTATTCATAGGCTTCTAATGTTACATTTCAAAGACTTCTAGTGCAGGTGCTGCTTTTTATTGCCTTCCAAGTAGCCTAATTTAACAGATATTTTACCCTAAGTGATCACCTATAAATTCCACCTCTCATTTGCTATTTTTTCAGCTTCTAAACAAAGTAGAAGAAAGAATGAAAGAATTGTTTCATGGTAATATAAAAAGGGTGAAACGGTGAGTTTGTACATCTACTTCTGTGTGTGGCTTGTCTGCATAGTTGCTCAAGAAAATAATCAAATAATGCTTTGCTGTACTGTGAATAGCCTGGAGTATGAAGTTATGCATGTGGTTTTCACAATATTTTACAATTGTTTTATTACAGAATTAAAGGTACTGTGAGGCTTGTCACTTTCTTAAGCTTCATCTTTAGTATTGTTACTTTGGGCAAGGATTACTCCTTTAATTTCCTGCAAATGGTTGCATGAAATGGTGGGAGAGAATGCAACCGGGAAGTGAGACCATGCTTCTCTGAAAGGTCTGGGGAGGCAAGGGTGGCAGCGGGATAAGCCAGGGCATGAACTGGATCCTTTGGGCCATGTCCCACAGCTTGTGGACAAGGTGAGCAGGGCTGGTGATGGTGACCGGGGTTGGCCGCAGTTCTGTGACTGCCAGGCTGGGCTATAGTACTGAGGCAGCACCAAGACCAAGCTGGGTGTCAAGGATTAGCATTTTTGCTAATGCTTGGACTTGGACAGGTATGGGCGGAGCTGCAGTGTAGCTTAGGCAGGGACCGGCTGTGAGGGCTGGAGCTAAAATGAAGCTTAAGCCCTGGTGGGGGTTGTGCCCCAACAAGGTTTCCTGCAGCTGTTTCTTTCACAGCTCTGCCCCTGCTGTGGGCACTCACAGTGAACACCCCTGGAGAACCTGTGTGCTTAGGGCCCTGCCAAGAAGATAAAAATGTTTCGTAGCAAGCTTTTTTAATATAACTGGTAACTGAAGAAGGGAGGCTTTGCAAACTTTCTTTCGTTTTGGTTTGCCTAAAATACAAGGTTATATAGTAAGATGTGTGCTTCATTGCCTGTTGCTGAAAGAGCATTCATGCTGGAGTTTCCCAGGGCTCTGGAAGGACACAGATCATGCTGGTGCCTTCCTGTCAACTGTCTGGCAGTGACTGGTTCCCTAAAATGCGGGAGCACTTAATGCAGGCAGGCACTTGCTGGAGGGTTCAGCAGGTGCTTTAAAGAACATAGGGAGAAGTGGAAATGATTTAAGGAAAGGGAAAAGCAGTGTAAAATCAGTAAGATTTGGTAAAGCCGAGGTGCAAACTACAAGATGGGAAACAGCTAAGCAGTACTGTAACAAAGTCATCTGAAGGCTATATACAAGACCACAGGTAAAGTGGTAGTGATTTTAAGTGATGTTATACCTCAAATCTGTTTGTTTGTAACAGGTTCATGTAAAACACAGGTAGCTATCTTGCTGTACCTTGTCCTTGTAAAGCCTTACCTCGTGCACAGCATGCAAATGTAGATAATCTTGTGTGTGTGTATATATATGTGTGTGTATATGTGTGTGTGTGTGTATATGTGTGTGTGTGTGTATATGTGTGTGTGTGTGTATATGTGTGTGTGTGTGTATATGTGTGTGTGTGTGTATATGTGTGTGTGTGTGTATATGTGTGTGTGTGTGTATATGTGTGTGTGTGTGTATATGTGTGTGTGTGTGTATATGTGTGTGTGTGTGTATATGTGTGTGTGTGTGTATATGTGTGTGTGTGTGTATATGTGTGTGTGTGTGTATATGTGTGTGTGTGTGTATATGTGTGTGTGTGTGTATATGTGTGTGTGTGTGTATATGTGTGTGTGTGTGTATATGTGTGTGTGTGTGTATATGTGTGTGTGTGTGTATATGTGTGTGTGTGTGTATATGTGTGTGTGTGTGTATATGTGTGTGTGTGTGTATATGTGTGTGTGTGTGTATATGTGTGTGTGTGTGTATATGTGTGTGTGTGTGTATATGTGTGTGTGTGTGTATATGTGTGTGTGTGTGTATATGTGTGTGTGTGTGTATATGTGTGTGTGTGTGTATATGTGTGTGTGTGTGTGTATATGTGTGTGTGTGTGTGTGTGTGTGTGTGTGTGTGTGTGTGGGAGAAGCTCTGGTATTTTAACACTGAAATATTAGGAGTCTTTGGAATTCCTATGACAGGAATTTGTGAAAAAAGGGTCAGGAAAAAGTCTTCCTGAAGTGATCTAGATTAATGTGGTTACCTTAGTATAGGATGATGAACCTCCTAGAACAGTGGATCGGACATGGATCTTGTTTCATGCCCCTCAACTTTTTTTTTTCTGGTTTCTTTTTGTTGAATTTCCTTTGCATCCTTCTGGTATTAGCTTCACACATGCAGCTCTGCAAGAAAAGTTGTTCCTGCTTCTTTGTTGTCTTGACATAGTGAATAGGTGTTCATGCTCTCACCGTGTGCTGCCATCTTGTGGCTCGCTAAGGGTAGAAAAAATATTTTAAGTGTCTATTGAGAATCATTAGTGAATTTAGAAGCTTGTCTATGTCTGGTCTCTTGCTACAGCCTTCTGTGGAAAAAAAAAAAAACAAAACATCCTTAACTCTCTGAAGTGTGTGTGGGGAATTCTGATGAACTCTGTGTCTGCACATGTTGCTTAATAGAATGCAATTATTTTGATGATCCCTGCCATTTCAAATATAGTTTGTCTTTACAGGTAAAATACTGATTTGAACCAAGATATTTCTATATGGAATTACAAAAACCCAACCAAAGTATCAAAACCAAAACAGTCTATGCAGATGCTTGAACCACTTTCAAAAAGTAATACAAACTGTTAGCTGATATACCAAGGATTGTGCTTATATATTGCAGGATGACCTGGCTCAGTTTGAAATACTATAATAGTTTACTTTTTGTGTTTGTCTATGTATTTAAAATACATCTCGGTACAACTTTACAAGGGTGAGATCCACTAATCTCAAAGAAATAACATTAGCTGAGCTGAAGGTGGGAAGAGGTTTTGTCAGGTGTTTTATCTATATTTTGCTTTTGTATTGTATCCATTTCTAGTCATGAGCTGATTCTTCTGTAGAGGCTGGTATGTTATGTAAATCCTCTCAGCGTAGAAATTCTCACATGCACATCATAAGCTGAATATAAATAACCATTTACATTTCATCTGTGCCTTAGCATGTTATGTATATTTAACATATGGCTGATAAGTTTCTTGCAAGATTTATCACTGAGATACAAGTTTTCTTAGATCCCTCTTGTAAATATTATTTATTATGGTGAATCCATAGGATGTTTAGAAGGAGATTTTTAAGAAAATAAATATTCTCAAATGTCTTGTAATCTTCTGATTTATTTCTTTCTAGATTGCCAGCCATTTTGAGAGGCGGTGTCATTGACAGATACTGGCCCACAGCTGATGGGCGTCTGGTGGAGTATGACATAGATGAAGTTGTTTATGATGAAGATTCACCTTTTCAGAATATTAAAATTCTGCATTCAAAACAGTTTGGGAATATTCTTATTCTCAGTGGGGATGTTAGTAAGTATCTCATTTGAGGATTTTTTTTGTGTGAAACTAGGAAGTGGTGTTTTCTATCTTCCTATGGCACAGTTTTAATAGATTACTAACGGTCATGGTACTGATGCTAGAAGCTACATATGCATGCACATATATATCTGTTCCTGAATATAAAGTATTTTAATTGGAAAGGCTGACCAGGGTAAAATCTAGAGTACAAAAAAAGATTTCTTTCTCCAAAGTCATCTTTGCTGTGGAAGGTGTCACAGGAGAATAGAAGTCAGTGTTCTCTAGCAGAGCTTATTCTACTCCTTTTATATGAGCTTTTACCCATTTGTTGCAAGTCCAGCCTCTTGAGGGCTTCTTTTTGTCATTAAAACAAGTTACTTTGTGGGTCTTCAAAATGCAGTGGGGTTCTAAAGAAATATGAAAAAGTAGGAGCTGGTGGGCAGAGTTTAAGGGAAGAGGCAGAGTTTAAGGGAATTACCTTCTTGGTGAGATACAGAGCAGCTGTATCTTAAACCATTTAGCTGCTTTGTTGGTGAACATCATCTGCCTCAGTTTTCCAAATGCTCAGTTGAGTTCTAAGTTCATCAGAAGTGACACAGTGTTTATGGGAGGGTCCTTATATGTGGTACTCTGTGCCCTCTGATTTTTGTATTTTTGAAAGTGAACTTGAGAGAAGATGGGCTACTGTTCTTTTAAGCTGGATAAAAATGCTATTTGCAAGAAAATGTAGGTATCAAGGAGTATGCTTTGTAAAATCTCTCAGTACGTACTTTGAAAAATACTGACTGAGGTAAATGAGGGATGTTGCTGTCTAGGTCGGGAATACCTAATTACAGTCTAATGGTAGAGTAATTAAGAAATTTGACTATAGCTTTTTGAAATAACCAGGAATACCTCTAACCGTTATGTTAGCTTTCTGTAATTGTCAGGGGGATTTCTGTGCAGATGGCAGCTGAAAAGTGGTTTTATTGAATTATTAGAAAGGTATTTTCTAATTCAGTTATAACTGAATTTGAAATCACAAAATTAGGTATTCCATATTTTTAATGAGAAAAACTCATCTGAGTTTCATATGGAGATGAGGCTTTGTTTGAATATTGTCATGATGTGCCTCAAAGGAAAGTATGCCATTACTTATTTACCTTCATGGGATTTTAAAATACTGCATTGTTATTGCATGCTTATAAGCAAAGTGCTGATTGCCTAGCAAAATGATACGATATGTCATGATGTGCTGCTGCACTTTGCCTTTGTAGCTCTGATATGTTATACCTTAGGAATGTTGTTCACCATTAGCTTCAAAGCAGGCAATAAGTCAGCAGAAGGCATGCTTCAGGGCCCTTCAGCAGTTAATGGTCATACTTAGGCTTCTGTGCAGGGATCCATGGGAGTTCAGCTAGGTTGCTCTTCTTAGTTTGGGGTCCAGAGTGTACTTTCAGAAATCTCCTGATTAGTCTTGCAGCACTAGACTGAGGTAAAAAAACTCCTTGAAATATTAAGTGTGGACATCAAGTCCTAAGCACAGACAGTTTTGCTTTACAATTTTGCTTCTCTTGGCGTGCAGTACTTCCTAATGCTGAGGTAGCTGTTGCTGGGTTTGCATTGAGAACTAGAGAAATCCTGTGTGGGATTCTGAGGAGGATCTCATTAGCTTTGGTAAATCAGCAACCTCCTGTTACCTGGACTGTCTCAGAGTTAGGATGTTTCTGTAGATGCTCTTGCTTTGGTCTGTATATCACCTTTGGATTAATACCAGTTAATGAGAGGAATTAGAGGTAATGTTTCTGTCCAACTCTCTCTTCCTTCCATTCAGATCTGGCAGAGAGTGACCTGGCATATACTCAAGCCATAATGGGCAGTGGAAAGGAAGACTACACTGGGAAAGAAGTGCTGATCCTAGGAGGTGGTGACGGAGGTATACTATATGAGATAGTCAAACTGAAGCCAAAGATGGTTACTATGGTAGAGATATCCTTTGACAAACAACTGATCATTCATTTCAACTTTCTTCATCCTGTGTTTTCTGCTCATGTTTTAGCCTGATAGTTAATTGTGCTCAATGCTCTGATTTGCATGAGGAGATAGGGTTCAAAATGATTATGTATTTGTGCATTATTATGTAGAACATCCTTTCAAGTTTCCAATTTGTACTGTAGTTCTTGAGTAGCAATTTACATAAAACTGGAAAGGAACACTTCTGTCATCAGACTGATATCTTTTGTGCTAACAGAAAACAGGTCTAAGTCTGTGGTTTGGGCTGAGCTCTGCTGCCTTGGGTTCTTATTTTTTTTTCTAAAGAAAGCTAGAAAAAAAAAAATCCCTAGAAGAAAAAACTTTAATCAATAGGAGTGTTGGTGGCAGAATGACTAACTTTTGTCCCGTTTTATTACTAAAACCAATTTTCAACATCCTGTAGTTCAAATAGTTTATAATGTAAGCTACTGTTAGCCGTATGAAGTGTTGATTATCCCTAGGTTTTGGGATCCCCTTGTTCTAAAAATATAGGTTAAAGTCTTAACCTTAGTTCAGCTTCATGGGGTTTTAAAATATACCATCCCATTGTTCACATTTTGAGCTTTCACAATAATGGTAACCGAAGGCACCAGAAATACTGATTAAAACCAAAAATAAGCGCTTCCTAAACTTCCTAACTGAATCTGGAGGCAAATACATAAGGTTGGCTATTGCAGTATGTATACCAAGATACAAATCTTACTATTCCTTTGACTGTCACCTTTTTGAGAATTTTTTCTGAAAAAAATAGAAACTGTTACTTGTATTATTTCTGGAATGTAGAATGCCTTAACCAGCTTCAAACATTGACCAAATGGTGATCGACGGGTGTAAGAAATATATGCGTAAAACATGCGGAGATGTCTTAGACAATCTGAAAGGAGAGTGCTATCAGGTAATTTATTGTTTTCCTTTCATTAGAAGTAATATTACCAATACAGTTAGACCTAACCCGGAAGACTGCTATGGCAAATTTTTGGGGAAAAGTCTTCCAATTTTCCTTAATTTTGGGAAGGATTTCTTTTTGATGACACTTATAAATTTTAATAGCTGGCAGTGGGATTTGTGTTGGAAGTATAATTAGTGTCAAAATTAAGTCTCTATCTGCAGACTCTTAAAAATATATGTAGCTTTTTAGGAATGTGAAATAGGAGAATGCTTATTACCATAGCTTACAAATAAAGGGGAAATAGCAGTAAGGATGCAGTATTAAACATCATTCCTTAAATTGATTAAAAGATAGAAGAAATGTGTGTTTTAGTTCTCCTGTACTGTTGAGAGTATCGTATCTGAATTTGTAGCACACACTTCAAAATTATTTTTAATTTGCAGTAAAAATATCTTACCATTACACTGCTAGTGTATTAAAAATATTTAAAAAATAAAATTCATGCACCCCTGCAGTTAAGGTCTTTATGTGCTGCTTCTGACACTTTACAAACTAGCCTGGGTGTAATCTGACATCTTCACTGGAAATATTTTCTTTGTCTTGATTACTACACTTTAAGGCTGTCACAGATACTAGTTTACGGGTGTGAGCTAAAAAGAACATGCAAAAAATTAACAGGATTCACATACTACTTCGCATGAGTCAGTGACCCTTCGTACAAATACCTTATTTTACTCGTAGGTTGCAGGACTGCTAACTTGTTACCATTTGGTAGGTAGAACAGCGGTCATCCAGTAATGACTGACAGAAATTCAGTGCTATATGTAGTGCCTATGTTGTCATTAACTCCTGCAACTGTTTCTCCTTTTTATATGGTGTAAAAAGTTGAAAATGAAACCTAAAATTAAACATATTTAACTTCATACTATTCCCCTCCTCTTAATTGCTATGAATATACATTTCTTCCTTTTACCTGATCAGTTTTAAGGTGTTTTGAGGACTAACTACAGTATTTTGTTCTTACAGGTTTTAATTGAAGACTGTATTCCTGTACTGAAGAGGTATGCCAAAGAAGGAAGGATGTTTGATTACGTAATTAATGATCTGACAGCTGTTCCAATCTCCACATCTCCAGAAGAAGGTTAATCTAATTTATCTTCCTGAACTTATGAGGATTTTCCATGTTACTGCCCCTCTGCTGCATAATAGTTGTCAGTTTGCAACAAAAATACTTTGATCTCACCTTTTTAATAGCAAATCTGAGAGGTAAAGCATGATAGTAACACATCTGTTCCTGTTTGAATTTTTCTTGAATGTTAGAAAAAATTAGACAGTGCCTAGGACTCTTTAAAACTGTACTCTTATTCCGAAATAATATGAACTCATGTAATTCTTGAGAAAGTATTTGGGGAGTTCACACTCCAGTAAATTTTTCCCCACTCCATAATTTCTTGGAATTGTCTCAAAAATTGCTCTGCAGAAGAACAGAAGTCCACCATTATTGCCATTGTGTATGGATTGTATGGGTGTTTTACAGTTTTTAAAGGTATAGGATAGCTACTTTTTAAACAGTAGACATGTTGCAAGTCTTGAATATGTAATAGTGAACGAGCCAGTGATGTGCTGTTCTGTTTTTAAATCATACTCTATGTGCAGATTCCACATGGGAATTTCTGCGGTTGATTCTTGACCTCTCCATGAAAGTCCTGAAGCAAGATGGAAAATACTTCACACAGGTATGGTATCTGGATATGAAAAAGCATATGTATTGAAATAGGCATTTTTAAAGTAAAAAAGAAAAGGGGACAAAACCAAATCAGCTAACAAAAAAATCTATTAGTAAGCTGTCTTTCCTTTTAATGACTCATTGGGGATTTTTGCATTTAACTTGGTCTTTACTAAATGACTTTTCATCATTTCAGCTGAATCTAGTGCTTGTGTCTTTGAATTTAAAAGCATAATTTCAAGAATCAACTAGGCATGCTACAGAATATTTTAGCTGTAAGCAATTATTGGAAGAGCAGAACAGATGTACTTCATAAACAGACACATGACTTAAGCAAGTGTCTCCAGTTGTAGAGTAGAAGACATGAAAATCTGTCATCCATAAAGGTGTAAGAATTTGACATAGGTGCAGTGGGATGAGAAAATTAGTTATTTGGGAGTAAATACTTTCTTTTTGCTTTGTATCTGCTCCTAGTTCAAGTCACTGGTTTGACTTCTGCAAAATGGATTTTGAACATTTGAATGCGCTTGGCATTTTGAAGTATTTTATGTAGTCTTAAATAAGATTTTGGCCTTGTGCATGAAGTCTTTAATGCAACTGTTTTAAAACAAATAATTTAAGATTCGTATATTTGCTATGATATAGCCACCTCATGAATAATAAAATTGTGGTACAACTTTTATCTGAAGATACTTTCTGTATGTAATCCTGAATTTGGAATGCCACAAAGCTATGTGCAATTGTGCAAAAATGTGACAAGACCCAGCAGATGGTTGAGTGAAGTACAAGTCTGAGGTTGGTTTCTTTTGTCATGTCCAGACCGTAGCAAGTTGTCTAATGTGTGGAGCATCCTAAAATAAACTAGCTAAAATTATGCATTTTAACTCTGCTCATACCAGCATACAGTTTGAGGTGTGTAAAGGAATTGTAAAATTGGACAGGTTCATAAAGAAATGCCAAACTCATTTTGTGAGTGTTTTGGAAACTTTTAATGTGCTGCTTTACTTTAAAATGATGGGGTTGTATGGGCAAGTTAAATTATCCTGTGATTGAAATGTAAGATACGACTAATATGGTTGTATCACTGTAAATCTTAATGGCTTTTCTGTTCTGTTAATAGTGGAAATATTTTCGACAGACTTTGGTATTGCAAGGACACTATGTTTTGGATGGTGCAGACACTTATGTTGCAGTTGTTAGACTTGTAACATAGAGTGAGACCAGTGGACTTGCTTAGAACGTATGTAGCTGACTTTGCAGAAGGTCTCTGGGAAGAAGCTTGTGCTGAAAGCTGGAGTGATGGCTGTGCTGCAGCCAGGATGCAGGGAGGTAGTTTTGTGTCAGCAGAAAACAGTAGAGGAGGCTGAGATTGCTGCAGCCCTGCTGCCTGTCCTGTCCTGTTATGAGGAGATAACTCAGCTCTCCAGCATCTCTTGTACAAGGAGAAAGGACAGCAGTACTGAACCAGCCCTGGCAGATTTAAGCTGTGGTAAAACTGCAATAAAGAAAACAATATTAAAGTTGAAATGGCTTGAATTTGGACTCGTAGCTAACTGATAGCCAGTGAAAGAGCTGGAGTATAGAAGCAATGTATTCCGGCAGTGTACTCTTGTCTTCCTGAGGGTGTTGAAAAAAGGAAAATTAATACAGGAGCAAACAGTTATATCAGAGCTTTTGCTATAGCTATTGATATGCTACCCAGACCATTTGATGGTCCTTGTAGCCTCTTCCCAATTGGGCCTGATTTAAAAACAGAAAACCCTTCAGAATACTCAGTAGTCTGATCACAGGAAGAGCAGACTTTTAAGGGCTTTAAATAAAATCAAAAAAATAAAATCAAAATTTATTTTAAATAAAATTAAAAAAATAAATAAAAAGCTGTCTGTAACTTTCTTTAAACTAGGTTTTGAATTAAACTAATTGAAGCTGGATATCCAAAGGATTGGGTTAGACTATGGACAGAAGGTCAAACATCACCACTACCAACTTTGGTAGCTGAGCTTACTCCTACACTGAGAACTCATAAATGGTTTTGAATGCTCTGTTAGCTGTGAAGTGCCAGAGTTATTTTAGCTCTGTACTAACATTGGAAGCTTAAGTTACTTTTGCTCCAACTGGCCACTTGCAGGATGCTTATCTTAGGTAGCAGGTTGTATGTTACTTGCTGAAGGAATCACATGCCTTCTAAAACAGCTGTGTTGGTAAAATCCAGAACTTTGTGTGTTCCCCCACATCCAGGCTTTCTTGAAGTGTGTTTTGGTTCTCTAAAATATATGTTGCTTTTCTTAATTATATTTAACTGGGGGAATGTCTACCTATTTATTAGAGCCTGACCTTTGCTATGATGAGGAAATGTCTCATAGGAAAGGTGCTGCCAAAGGGTCATTGTCCAGTTGGCTACTGGCCAGTAGCTATAGCTGCTGCTTCTGCTTCAGCATTATTTAATTTGTACTAACACTTGGAAACTTCTTTTCTCTATAATTTGTAGTGTCTTTTCTGATAGTTCTGCTTGCAGGGATTACTTTGTGCATCTTGTTAGAATGTCGCTTATTTTGGTGCTCAAAAATGCTTTGCACAAAAGTGGAATTTTGTTTACAGAATGCCAGCCTTTTGCGTACTATATTGCTGCCTGACTCTCTAAATGCCATTGCTGGGGAAAATAAATGGAAGTGCTCATCACTTCTTCATTGAGCTGTGTACAAGTTTTGGAAAATGTTCTCTTCAGCATATGAATTGCAATCAGTCAGGGTCTGAAGCTGTCTAACTCTAGATAGGTAAAATTTGCGATTATCAAAGTAATTACTTCGTTATGCTACTTTAACACACCTGGTTGTTCCTTGGCATGCCATGGTGATCCTCACAGCAGTCTTCAAATGTTAATGCAGAATATCCTTTCACCACTAGGTGGAGACTGATAACTAATATTGGTTAGTAGTTTATTAATGTTTATGGAGTGATTCTACTTGTGAAAGGTTTTTCAGACTATTTGTTTTCCTAGGGGATGCAAGAACATATGTGGCTTATTTTAGGATGTAGGAGGGACTTTCTGCTTGTTTTAGCTCTGAAAAGAGAGAAAGGCTAGTTTCTGGATCTTGTTCTCTGGTGCTGTAAGTCTGTGCTCAAGTATATTGGGGGAGAAAAACACCTCCATACTTGCTCTATGGATCTACAATAGTAATCACAATAAGAAAACTTGTATGGGTAGCAGCCTTGCCTTTCATGTCATTGCTTTTTCAGCTGTCATCCATATTGAGTCTTGCAGCCTACAGAGGACCTGAACAGAGAGGTGAGCTTTAGGTTCCTTTGTCTGCAGAATTTGCAGCCCTGTCTGTAAGTTTGAGACTTGAGGCTTGTTTGAAAGCTTGTTGAACATAATCCCACTACTCTGATGCTCAAGAGTCATATGTCTTGCTCCGTTTTTGATTCTTCTTTCTTCTCCTAAAGTTAGTGCTGTGAAGTGTTTAGTGTTATAATGTGGGGGGCCAGGTCTGTGAGGTGTGCTCAGTGTTGCCATCTCCAAGGGGAGCCATTTACAGGTGCAGATTCCTAACCATCACAGGGGAGGAGAGTGGGAGTCGGTGAGGATTTAAGAACTTGGCATATCCCAAGGTCTGGTTTAATCTCTAATGGACCTTCCCAGTGACTTGTTTTTGAACATGTTAAGTGTTTTTATACTACTGGACCTTCATAAAAGCCAGTACAATTTTTAGGTTGCACAAGTGATTTTTTTCAACTTGGAGTATGTATAGTTGTAGATACTAGTGTGATATGTTTGTGGCTTTTTCTGAACCATCACCATCTTGTGGTTTCCAAGTAGTACATGAGGACTGTCCCAACAGCTGTGAAACTATGCTCTGTAAGATGCAGAGACTGATTGTAAGGTTGTCTCTGTCAGTGGATTATGTGTAGCTAGGAAAATGCCTTTTCCTGTGCAAAGTTCTCATTCTGCTGATCTAATTCTTTGAGGTTGAGTAGGCTGTCATTTTCAGTCTGTTTATAAAGTGGAACTTTTAAAAATACCTCTGAACAGGAATTTGCTCCTTGCTAGTCTGGGTCATCCAACCCAGGCAGGGTAGAAACATTCTGAGACCACTCACCAGTTTGGGTTCCAGTAAACAGCACTAATCACTGGTGCAACGGATCAGATGTCTCCCACACACACATGCAGCCCTTTACTAAGCTGTCACTTCCTGGCCACTCTCTAATAGTGTGACCCTGCCCTCTAAACATCCAGACAACTGATGTTGCTCCATAGTTACATTCCTTTTTTTGGCTGCTGTGTGTATTTTCTAATTAGCACTTCCAAAGAAGGAGCAGGGTTCTCCTTGTCTGCAATGTGAAAGAGACTGGAATAACAGATATATGTTTCTCTGTAAGCCTGTATGATTTCTTGGCAGTTTGGGAGTCTGCAAGGGATAGATGTTTCACTTTTTTGAGTTACTGAGAGTTCAGTTCTAAATTAACTGATCATTTGGCCAGTAGAGATACCTTCAGTCAGGTTTGCCTCCATTATCTCCTTAAAACCTATCCCTATCACCCAAAACTCAAACCTGGGTTTGCGAAGTGTTTCGTGCTCTATGTATTGCATTGATTCTTAGTCACTCAAGTGAGGAGGGGAAAGAAAAAAAATCTAACCTCAGCCATGTTCAACTCTGGCACTTGTTATTAAAAATAATAGAAAATCACGTTAAATTAAAGTCTCTGGTATACTGTCACAGACAAGGATGTCTGGTAGGAATGACATGTAGGGTAAGACATGTAAGAATATCATGTGTAATAAATGGGCAAGTATGGAAAGGGACCCCTTCCATCTACTTTCAAGTCACTAGTTCACTTTCTAAGCTTGGAGGAAGCGTAGTGGCCTAAATTCAGCCTATGACCAGTTGATGGATGCATACCACTTACAGGTGGGTAAAGTTAACTGGAACTTATAGGGGTAATTTAAACATTCTTTTTACTACTTTAAGGAATGCTTTTTTATTGTCTGCCTGTAATTGTATTTAGTATTTAAATCTGTTGTGCATTGTGCTGTAGAAACCTGAAAATTAAACCCATGGTCATACTGAATGTATACCTTACAAAAGCCCAAAAGAATGGGTGTTGGGAGACAAGCATAAGCTGTCAAAGTGTCCCTGAAACAGTTCAGGAATTGTTTGTTTTAAACAAGGTCTTATAAATACAGATAGGTTAATTTCAAACTTTAAAACTACCTCAAATATTCTTGACTTGAAGAGATGCTTGTTAGAAAAAAAAATCTTTGGCATTCTCCCATTTCTTACCTGTCAAATTGTTTGACATGGAACAAAGATTAAGTGGGGGTGGGCAGAGGAGTTTGGAAGGGGTTTTGTGTATGTTGAAAATTGACTGAACAGTGTGGAAGAAAAGTCTGATTTTGCTTATTTCCCTTTGAAAAAGCATAACTGGTTAATCATCAGCCTTAAACCTTATTAAACACTGTTCAGTGTTATTGTTTGAATATGTGGTGGCTGTTCAGGACAAAAAATGTATTGCTCTACCACATAACTATTCGCATTAGGCAGGGGGAGTTAAAATGAGCACAGGTTGTTAGACTGATCACTGTATTGCATTCTGGGCTTGGTTCCCTGTGTCATGTTTTAGTGGTACAGGAACATCCAAGTGTGATCATTATCAACGCTGTAGTCTTAGCTGATAAAGCTGGTCACTTCTTAGAGAAGTGTGTTAATAGTAGTGATTTTTTTCCAATAACTTTATTGAAATAAGTTCCTCTTAAGTTTTGTACATTTTATTTTAATTCTTAGCTTATTGTTGACTAAAGTAAAATAATTTAAAAAAAATGTACCTATGCAGAACTAAAATCCTGTGATGTCTCTAGAAGGAGAGGTTAAAACACTGGGTGGCATGTATGAACCTTTAGATAAGATCTTGATTGGGGGATTGGGGAGCTGTGAATTTGAAAAGTAAATGCTTATTGGCATGTTTCATTGTTCCTGTAATTTGTTTTCCATGCTGCCTGCAGTGATTTGTCAGTTGCTGGAGGAGGGAGGAAGGATGAAATACTGAAGCAACAGACTGGGAAACTGGATACTTTTATCTCATTGTGTAACCTATTAAACTTTGTCTGTAATAGTGGTATGCTCCATAAATTACCTAGCAGTGTTTTCTATTTATGACTCAAATTACACACACAGGTTGTTTTTAGTTTTCTTTTGCATTCAATCTGATGTTGAAACAAAATTATATGTTTGGTAAAGGGAAGCTGAACCAAATAACTGCTACGCTCCCCTGGGTAATAACAGGTTACTAAAGAAGTACTACACTAGTCTGTTCATTATGCTTTGTGCAGTTGTTCTCAGTTAGTGTTCATCTCTTACCTTTCTTACAAACATCTTGTTTTCTGATACCCCAAACCAAATCTGATCTATTCAATATAAAGCATGCTATCTTTCTATATTAAATAAACAAGTACATGTTTGTGGGATACGATCAAAATGATAATCAAACACGTTTTATGCAAGTTCTTCTGAAGGAGCGCTTTCAAGAATGTGGTTTTAAGTTGAGATTTTCTTTTCCATTTGTGAAAGCTTGAGCACAGTGCAGAACTCATTGAGCGCGATGCAAAAAATGCAGAGAGAATATGGTAGAAATTTCTTTTCACTTTCTCTAGAAATAGAAATGCTTTGAATACATTGTGAAAAAAATCCTCCCAATAAAAAGAAATAAAACAATAGTTTAAATCCCAGAGTCAGAATGTGCATTATAGACTTTGTAGTTACCTGATGTTACATGGAAAAAGCAATGTAGATGGAACTGTGTAGACATACGGATTTTAAATGATTGCTGCTTGTTTCAGTCTTTGCCCATTATGCATGCTTTTTAAAAGCACAGGTAGTATTTATTGGTCAAACTCCATCTTAGTTCCTTGCTTTGTGAAAAATAATTTTCAGTTGCATCTGTGTGCACTTTATTTCTAAGGCTGTTCTTAAAAAAAATCTGAGAGCACTGTAAAGCAGAAGTTAAACATAAAACGCAGCTTTTTTAAAAGATCATTTTTGTGAAGTTAGAAGCTTCACAGTGTGATAGCAGAGCAGTGCACATGTGTGAAACACAGGTAGCGTAGACATTTTGAAAGTGTTGAATAAATAATTTGTTTTGGGGGTCCTCTAGAACTTGACCTTCATTTCAAGTTAAGAGGACTTAAAATATTGAATAAGCATTCTTTCACAGTCAGATGCAAGTTATGTTATTTAAGGTCAGGAAGGTACAAGATACCTCATTCAGTAATTGAAAAAAAGTCAAAACTGTGTGTGTACAAACATTTCCAGAAATCATTCAGAGCAGAGGGAAGATACTGTCATTCCATAGGTGGAGTCTGTTGCTTTAGGCTTGCTTCTTGTCTGTCTTGCAAAATTCAAGGCTTTTAAAGATCAAAAGCAGTACTCTGCTTGGAAGTGCTTATGCTGGAAGGCTTTTGGCCTGTCCAGACATGAACAGAAAGAGTCATCTAGAAACCAAAAAGCTGCCTGTATTAGTAAATGACTGCTCCTTCCCCCATTTATTTGATTTAACTAGACCCTTTTCTGTGTAACGCATATCCTTGTATCATCGAGACTAATGTTCTTGTGATCTGAGATAAATAGCAAAGTTCTGTGCCTTGGGTTTCCTGCCATCATTTTGTGGGACTTTAGCTTGTATGCTAGGTTAGCAGGAACTGTGTATTCATTAACATTAAAAGTTCCCTCTTTTGTTGTCTTGTCTTCTGTGGTAAACGTTGTTCCTCCACTAGAAGTGGTAAAATATGTGGGAGAGCTGAAGAATTTTGTTGAAAGTAACACTGAAGAAATGCTAGTTAATGCTTTTGTTTCTATTGATTAGAAATCAGAAAAAGTAGGCTTTGTGTGAGATCAAGGTAAAAAACTTTTATAATATAAACTAGTAAACCCAACCCAATTGGGGAAGGATGGGGAGAGATGTCTCCTGAAGACAGCTGATCCTGCCCCACATATGGCCAGATATGCATGTGCTGTGTGGCTGGGGTAGATCTAACATAATCATCCAACTTACTGTTCATGTGTAGTGTGCCGTGTGGTTGGGCATCATGTTTGGGGTCTAGAGGTTGAGCTGGATGTTCCTTATGAAAGTGAGGGAGGTAGACCACCACAAATCAATTCATCTGGCTGTTAGCGTGCCAAGGAAAGTTATCATCTGCCTTGACCAGAATTGTAGAATGTCTTGTTTCTATACTGTGCCACAGCAATAGTATATTCATATTTGATGCATCTTTATTCAGTGTCTTGTACCTGGAAAAAAAACTGAGTAATTTGTAAACAAGGCAGTGGTTGACTATATTTGGACTAATTTAAAACTAAGCAAAGTTGAATAACTTATATTTGCCATATTCTTAAGATTATTGTATTTGAGGTCATAACCTGCTGTCTAGCCTACTCAGTTATGTAGGCAAAAAAGGTAAGAACCTTGACAAAAAGTTTTCTTAAATTTGCACAACTGACTTATTGCTTTGGGTAGTTTGTGTGTGTTCAGTCTGTTCTGTGGGCTCACTTTTATTGCTAAATCTTCAAACCTGATATGGATAGTCATGTCTCTAGAACTTTCTCTATATGGACATCCCAGGTGTATGTTGCAATGACTTCTTGTTAATACTTTTGGACAGAATTGTGCTTGTAATTAGGAGTTGTTTTGGGGTTTTTAAAAAATTCCTTACCACTTCTAATCCTTAAGATGTGTTTGTATTCTAAGAATGATTTGTTTGGGTAATATTTGTCTGGGAAGAAATGCTGTGAATTCAATGTGTCTGATACTTCATAGTTGCACTGTTTGCGTGCTTAGATGATTTTTCTCTTATTTTGTTCAGAAAATGATATTGGTAATATTCTTACATGAGAAGACATGGGTCCAAGGAAAAGTAACATAAGAATCACTTCCTTATCAGAAGCATGATGCACAAACTTAAGACAATGTAGCCTGCAGCCACAAACATTCTGTATAATGTGATTTATTTTGTTGTATTGCTCTGTGGAAGGAGGTTACAGGATTTTTTTATAGTGCATTTAAATGTTGTAAGACCTAGGCAATGTTAAATAATTGAGAAAATCTGGACGCTATAATACTGTTTACTAACATATTTAAGCAATCATAAAGAAAATGGTTATTGAGTAGATGTTAGAGGTAAACAACACATGGTGGTCTGCTTTAAGTGGAAGCTGTAAAGTAATGGTTGTTTCTGTTAATGAGAAGATAGATAATCCTCCCATACTTACCCTTTCTTGAAAAGACACAAATTGTTGTTTGCTGTAGGCATAATGAAGACAAGCTGTTCGGTATTTGCCTTGTAAATCTTAAATATTAAGAACAGCATACATTTGGTTCTGAAGTATGTGGGAGCCTGGCATTCATGTCAAAATGTACATATTAATCTGCAGTTTTACTTATTTGATTGTAACTGGGACTTTTCTGTTTGCTTTTTTTCTGCAGGGGAACTGTATCAATCTGACCGATGCCTTGACTTTGTATGAAGAACAGCTTAGCAGGCTTTATTGTCCTGTGGAGTTTTCAAAAGAAACTGTGTGTGTTCCCTCCTACATGGAATTGTATCCTTAAAAAGAATACAGTGTGTATTAATAAGTCTATCCTAGTACTCCTTGGCGGTAATGAACTAAATTTGAAGAAGGTGGTTCTATTTTTAACACTACTAATGTTTTTTCATAGTACTGCAGTCTTATTTTGAGGATAATTGCAGGAATTATTTTTTTTTAAATTTCACAGCTGATGAGATGATCAGCACCTTTCAAGATCAAGCTATGTTTTTCTTGATGCTTTTGAGTATTTCAAAGTCTACTGTTTATGTGATGTAAGATAAACTTTGACAGGGTAATGCTGCCTGGGAGTTCTGGCAAGGCTGGATCTCTTTTTATTCAAAAACCCCAAATTAACTTCATGTAGATTAGTGTGATCCAGATCTTTAAATATTCTAATTAGATGTATTCTTGAACATACAGCTCAAACTAAATTTTAATGAGAAAAAAAGTGATTCCTAACAATCATTGCTAGTTAGTGTTACTGAAAAAAAAAAAAAATGCAAGTGGAGGGGTATACACATTTCCTGTAACACCTCATTCCTAGAAGTAGTTCAGAATGTCTTAATTTTGTGGGTGGCAGGCAAGTTAAGCAGCTAGAAGGTTCAGCCTCAAGCCATTAGCTCTAGAGGGGCATTTTGATTTGCTATAGAGGGGTTCTGCTGGCTTCATTTGCCTTGAGTGTTTACCACTTCTGTGTAATCTTCCAAGAAATGTTTCTGCAGGGTAATGCCTGCTGTGGCTGTCCATCTCTTGATAGGAGAGGTCTTTCCAGGATCTGCTTATTCATAATATGTTAAGTGTGTGAAACTGCCACAGCCGTTCTTCTGTGTGTTCATTTTGCCTCCCTGTCTCTAATACTGATTTTTGTTTAATGCTGTAGCCTGCTGTTCTGGACTTCACACTGACTGTAACAAGCCCCTCTTGTTTCTTACTACTTTTAGCACTCCTGTGAAACTCAGATTTGATCTTAATATTTTCAAGACAAAAAAAAAAAAAAAGGATATGAAGATATTTGCCCTTGTAGCTTACAGTTTCAATGAAACTGGTTATTTCTGCCTCTACAACTGCCAAGCCTTAATGCAATGTGTATGTAACTTATGCGTCCTCAAAATCTTCTAAATACTTCATTGTTTCTTTGGAAGTATGCAAAATGTTTCTAAATTATTTGAGTAGCAAATGCTACTTCATTCCTTTGAAAAACACATTTAAATGTTTTCAGTAAGTTAACAGATGTGAAATATATTTAGCAATAAATTTATTAAAAGTGGCCATTAAATAGGTGTAATGGAGCTTGAAAGTGAACAGTTCTTAGAGAAATGGGCAGGCTTTTTCTGATTGAATTAACAATGATGTAATGTTTATAGGTACAGGAATGTTAAAGAAGTCATGTTGATGACTTCAGATTAGCTTGAAGTACAATAATTTTTAATTTGGCTTGACTTGCATTTCAGGTACAGGTTATCACCTTCCTAGAAACTTAAAGATTTCCAAGTAGGGGTATCTGAATGGTAGGTTAATGCTGTCTTACAGATGACTGAGATGTGATAGTTTACAGTGGAATTGTGACAAGTAATTAAAAATTAGGGGTTTGTTTCTTTTAGGGATGTGACAGATTTGTGGCATTCTGAAATGTCTTGAACCATTGAAGGAATCTTTTCACTTAAGTAAATATTAGTTTTTGTAATCTGACCAGAAGTTGCCTGCGTGGGTACCTGCATGCAGCCAAAGTACTAAACTGGCTCATCACTTGTTATTGATACTTGATTTGCCTACTTCAAGAATAGTTATTGTGTGTAATTGTTACCTGAAATTCTGGTATTTACCAGTGTTGCTGTGGAGGTCATCTGAAATTCACGTAGCTCTTGATATAAAAGCCAGCACTATTTTAAGGTGTCTGAGGTCTCCGCTAAAACTTTATGGTGAACATGGAGGCTCCCATGTGAAGCATGTGTGGACCTCACTGTGTAAACAGAAGAGCATGTCTTTGGGATTTACAACTTAGTAACACCACATAAAAATCTGTGCCTTACTCTGCAGCTATTGCTGTAGCTCTTAAAAAGGTGATGTTCATGTCTCATCCTCCTGTCTGCTCTTCAGGAAGCAGGTGGAGTTACATAGCTTTGACTTCACTCATGTGCCCATGTGGCAAGAGAACTCTTGCCTGTCCTGCCAGGGGTACATCAGAGCTATGGTTTGAGCATAGCTTCTGCTGAAGCTGAGCCCATCTATGCCCCAGAGGAGCAGCAAAAAGAGCACTGATACAGCTTCCAGTTGCTCTGTGTTTGTTTCTAGCTCAGGATGACATAAAGGTCTGCTTTCTGAAAAATGTTTCAGTACCTAAGGCAGAAGCTTTTAGAGAAAAGCCTAGGCAAAATTTAGATGCATCTGAGTGTTCAACAGAGCCCCTGTTGAAGCTGTTAAGACAGTAGGCATTTAAATATTTGCCCTCTAAGATACCTGTACACCTAGTGTTCAGCTGCTGAAGATCTCAGTACTAATTTTGTATCTGCGTTAGGGTTTCGCAGTTAGGTAGCTGGATGTCTCTTCCCTATTCAAGCTTGATACTTTAGCAAGAAGCATCCCAGCTTGGTGCACTCCTGACTGAAGTTTTGATCATGTTTCCCAAAGTATTTCTATAGTCTGTTCAGTGGTTGCAATGCAAAAAAAATTGGACCACCTGAAAGTCTGCAACAGGAATTAGAAAGCATGGGTTTGGAAAGGTACTTCAGTTTCAGTGAAAATGAGATGCTCTTTTGAACTGTTGAGATAAGAAGAGGATCCAGGGAGACTTCACTTTTGAAATTTTTACCTACCTCATCTTTATGAGCTACCAGAAGTTTTCAGAATGGAAATATGAGCCAAAAGAATGACTTCTATTTTAACTGTGTACTAACTTTGCTGCTTTTTTTCCTTAACTACTTATTTTCCCCAGATGGGTATTCTACACTATTTGGAAGAAACAAACTGACATCTGAACATCAAGATTGTTTGAGATTATCCTAAATGTACATGCTGCATGGAGCATATAGGCCTGCCACGTGCTGCATATTGGCATCTTGAACCTTTAAATTATATGCTGTAGATGATCCTGAAACTTAGTCATGCTATTGATTGTGAATTCTTTAAATGTTTTTATTATTATTTTAATTTAAAAGCAAATGGAAAAATGTATATTTTGATGAGCTAGGGTGTTATTTTTGAAAGTCAACTTAAAGATGAATAAGCAGCAAAACTATATAGCTGCTGAATGCACTGAACCTTTAGAATGTGATCCTTTTTATTTTTTTGTAGATCTTTGCAAACTGGTTGATTAAAAAAAGACATCTTTAGCATTTCATCTCTGAAGGGTGGTCCATGGAGTTTGTTTTGGGTGTTTTGTTTTTCCACCAGATTTTTTTGTGATGTTTTTTAAGAATGGAGGGATTTTTGTTTAATTCTTTTTTTTAAATGAACACTGCAGTGCTTCCATATAGAAGGGCGTAACTAAAACAAAAAAGAAAAAAATGAAGGAGAAAAAAAGGAAAAAGTCTTCTGAAAGGATACTCCAAATTCTTTATTGCAAAGGGAAGAAAGCTAGTCTTAAATTTTGGTTTTTTACTCTAGTTGCATTTATCATTGCTGTAATCTCTTCTGCAGAAGAATCTTTGACCTCTCACCTCATGGAATTCTTTAGCTGCTGCCATAATTTGGATTTTGGTATGGATTTAACAGTAGGTTATAGGGGCACTTTGAACTCTTTATCAGTGTGAAAATTAAAGCTGGTTTTCCATCCCACCACAGTGCAAGACATTGAGTGTAATGAGGTTCTTGTGGGCATACACTCCTCAACCTTATGGTAAGCACTAGGTTCTTGAAGGAAAGGTTGTTTTAGAGGGCAGAAATGTGGGTGTGATCCAGATTCATGTGCACCAGTCTTTAATATTTTGAGGCAAGTGTGTATACTTAAGTAGGGTGAGTCCTGGTTGTATTGCTGCAGATTGACTGTGTTGTGTGGGGCTCTTGCTGAATTAGGTTCACTTTCAGTGTAAAAGCCAGTGGAAGCTAGGTTGCATTGTAGCTCTGTTCCAAAAGAGCAAGCATTTTTCTTTAACTGTTGTTGTCTGAAAAGTTACATTTTTGTAAGAATGGGCAGTGTATTGACTAAAACTTTCAGTGTTCAAAAGATTCTGCTTGAAAGGAGGTAGGAAGAATATAGCCATTCTGTGCATTTCTGTCTGTTTCCAAGATAGAATAAAAAGTGTCCTGTTTCCCTAAACACTCCATTCCTAAACCATAATGATGTTTTTTCCATTCAACATCTAATATCAACATTTTCTTATATCTGTGGAAGGGAGTTGATTCCCTTCCTGATACTGTTATAACAAACCAAAAAAGCATTCTTAAGATCTGTATTCTTAAATCATACATAAAGAAGAATTACTGTGTCCCACATACATAAACTGTTTATGAAATCTGAGTAGCCTATATAAAATACCAGAGTGATACTAGAAGACTTGCAAAAATTTGCTCTTCGTGTGGTGTATAGCTATTTGTACAGTTGCTGTTAAAATGCTTTTAGAGAGACAATAGAAGTATTCTTCAGTCTTATTGTTTTAAACCATTGCAGTTAATTCTTTAACATATATGGGACACAGTTCTTTCATGGCCTACAGCTTGTGCATCCCTAAATACTCCCAAAGAGCAAAGCCTCCCTCTAAACAGAAGTCGTGCATTTAGCTGAGTGTTTTAGCTGTTGTACACGTCCCAGAAAATACCTTGATATTATTGCCTGTAACCTAGCAGTGACACTTCATTTATGATACAGGACTGCAATCAGTATATTGTATAGCTGCAGATAAATGCAGATGTCCTGTGAACGGTTACATATATCCTTAACTTTGCAAGTAGGAATACTCCCATTGATTCTTAGTGTGATTACTCATGTAGGTGAAATTAAGCACAGACTTTCTCTGGGATGGGGTTTAGAGCGTGTATATGTTCCCAAGGGATCTTGATAGATGTGGAAATCAGTTGCAACACGTTGGGGGGGG